TGAAGTTTAATAAATTTTGTAGAACTTTCTGAATCTCGTCTCATTGACAGCAGAACTTACCTGTGTCCTTATTACATTACATTTTCCTGGAGTTATTCCAGGTGGCGTTTGTTGGTCATTGTAACCCTTAATATTCTATATTTGGGTTGATAATAAAAAAAAAGAAAATCCACCCCCAGGTTGCCACATCAACTGAGATCAAATGGCCTAGTGAAAGTTCAGACTTGAATCCAGTTGTGAATCTGTAGCACAGAGCTCTCCATCTAATCTAACGTACAAATTTAACTGCACAAACAAATTCAGTCGTTCTGCAAAATATTGGCTGAGTGGGACTGAATGAAAATGTGAGCCATATGTTTCTGATTATTATTTGTAGAAAGATGTAGAATTTTCCTTCTCTTTCACAACTATGCGAGACTATGTGATCTATAAAACACAAACTATCAAATATTTAGCAGATTGAAAAAATTTAAAATAAGCTATTCTAAGGTTATGAAAAGAGTTGTCTTTATGAATGATGGTTTACACTTCTGCACATCAGTTTATTTGTCATTTCTAAATAGTTTCTACACTTTGTGGTAACTACTTAGAGTGTTTACCAGCAGCATTATTCATTGCTCAGGTCATTTCTCTGGGTACTCTGCTTTTAGGATGATCTTTCCAAATTTCTATAAAACCATGAGATCAGGATTACAAGTTGAAGTGTCTGAATGTAGCAGCGGACATTGGATAAAATTTTGCTCTCGTTTGCTGCTTTGGGCTGTGACAGTGTGTGGACACACGGTCCTCCAGTCATCCTCAAGCAGCAACCAGACAAACATTGTGAAATACAGTCAAAAGAGATAACGTTGTCTTTGGTGAAATCAGTGACATGACAGCAGTCATCCATCCATCTGCTGTCACTGACACGTTTCAATCACTTCCCTGCTTCTCTACAGTTTTACAGCTGCTTCTGTTGCCCTCACACCAACCTCCCCTGAACACACACCTGCCCACGCATGCAAACACACACCTACACTTTGTTCAAACTCAGTACAGCGAAGCACCAGAGGACAGATGCATCTGTTGATCAAAGTTGATTCTATAGAGAGAGACGCTCAAGTTGATGTGGAGTTGTCACTACCGGATCTGTTTGCCTGGAGGTTTATTCTCCTTTTTCTCTTTGTGCAGACCAAAGCACCAGAAACAATTTTGATTTATATTAATGTCTTTTCTACTGAATGTTTGTGTTAGAATAGTCCTGGGACCCGTGTGAGATCCCGTCTTATAAACATCTTGACACGTAAATAAGGGAATCTTAATAACTGTCAGCTCAGTATCAGTGGAGATATGTCCCAGCCCCCAGTGAGCCTAGTAAGCACTGAATAAATGGATGAACGGTTTGCAGCTAGAACATCAAATATTAGAACTGTCCAGCTCTATTGTTGTGGAGAAATACCAGCTTATTTTAAAGCATGGAGCAGGAGTTTGTTTCTCTGCAGGTTGCATCAACTTTTATATTTTATTTGTTGCTGAAGATGCGCACCGTTGGCTCATGTTTGTTTCATCAAACAAACATGTTTGATGAAGGCTTCCTGTTTGACTTTGTTTGGACCGGACCATGCACCGTGCTGCTGCTGAAATACGCATGGTTTTATTGAAGAACAGGACGTAACACAGTACATATGTTTCTGTTAATGTATGTTGCAATAGTTATATGTAAATGAGACATGTCTCCCTCAATATTTTACAATAAAATATTACTTCCTCAATATTACTTCCTCAATGTTGCTTTGTGAAAGAATCCATTCCACAGCAAAATACTCATACCCCACAACGCTAGATGAGAAGAAATATCCTTTATTGTGAGCAGCAGTGTTGTGGTCAAGACCACCTAACCCGAGACCAAGACAAGACCAAGACCAGAGTGTATCGAGACCGAGTCAAGACCAAGACTTTTAGGGTCCGAGA